ATTTTTAATGTCTATATTAGGTATATATTTGGAAAATATATTTGGAAAAAAAGGCATAATGAAACCAAAGTTTAGCATGTTCAGACATCTTATTGGAAGACAAAGGCATAAACTTCTATTAAATAAAAAAAAACAATGACTGAATCTGACTAATAGCTCTTAATTCAATCTGCAAATGCCTTATAAAAGAAAGAGGGTGTAAAAGGCGAGAACAATCTCCCGCTCCAAGAAATTATGTTTCTCAATATCCAAAATTCACGGAAAAGTTTTATTTTTCTAAAATTATGTTGTCAGTTATGTCATCTTTAACACGTTTTATTCATTTATTTCATTGCATGACTTAATTGATATTTTTTTAAGTTGACATGCAGTTACGCATATTTACCGGAAATGGGTATAAATTGTTTTGGTTTTTTTATATAATGGGTCAAGTCTCTATTCCACATTAATGTTTAAAAGATTGAAAAGTAAATGTAAAATCTATTTTACGTTTCAAAAAATTGGAATCTGAAACCATTCAATATAAAAAGCGAATGTTTATGGAAAGATTTTTAATTCAACAAAATGATTTACCTAAAGCACTCTAACATACATTAATGACAAAAAGCCCTCGTAATGCATGGTTAGCATGTTCAGGTTAAGAGAAACAAGAGAGGCCCAGGGGCCACATCGCTCACCTGAGCATTGGCTAGAGGAAAAAGCACATACCAGATCATATCAGAACTGAAAGTTTACTGAGAAGATGGTGGGGAGGGGGCTTGAATTCTAACCCCCCAGGGGGTCATGATATGTACAAACTTGAATCTACACTACCTAAGGATGATTCCCTATAAATATCACTAAGCATGGCTTTGAAAAAAAGATTTTAAAAGGTTTCCCTATATATTCCCATGTAAAACTTTTATTGGCCATTTGCCCAACCCTACCCCTGGGGTCTTGTTGTGAACAAAATTGAATCTACACAACCCGGGGATGATTCCACAGGAGTTTCATCTTTCCTGTCTCAATGGTTCTTGAGAAGAAGATTTTTCCTATATATTCCAATGTAAAACTTTGATCGGCCATTTTGGCCCCACCCTATCCCCGGAGGTCATGATTTGAATAAACTTGAATCTTCACTACCTGAGGATGATTCCACATAAGTTTTATCATTCCTGGCCCAGCGGTTTTTGAAAGGAAGATTTTTAAAGATTTTTTCCTATATATTCCTATGTAAAATTTGATCAGCCATTTTGGCCCCACCCTATCCCCGGAGGTCACGATATGAACAAACTTGATTCTACACTTCCTGAGGATGATTCCACATGAGTTTCATCTTTCCTGGCCCAGTGGTTCTTGAGAAGAAGATTTTTCCTATATATTTCTATGTAAAACTTTGGTCAGCCATTTTGGCCCTGCCCTACCCCCGGGGTCATGATTTTAACAAATTCGAAACAACAGTACCTGAGGATGCTTCCATATAAATGATCAATTGTGGCTTTGCTTTCCTTGAGAAGAAGATTTTTAAAGAATTTTCCTATATATTTCTATATAAAACTTTGGTCGGCCATTTTGACCCCGCCCAACCCCCTTGGGGGTCATGATATGAACAAACTTGAATCTACACTACCTGAGGATGCTTCCATATAAATACGATCAACTATGGCTTTGTTACTCTTGAGAAGAAGATTTTTAAAGAATTTTCCTATATATTTCTACATAAAACTTTGGTCGGCCATTTTGACCCCGCCAAACCCCCCGTGGGTCATAATATGAACAAACTTGAATCTACACTACCTGAGGATGCTTCCATATAAATATGATCAACTATGGCTTTGTTATTCTTGAGAAAAAGATTTTTAAAGAATTTTCCTATATATTTCTATATAAAACTTTGGTCGGCCATTTTTACCCCGCCCAACCCCCGGGGGTCATGATATGAACAAACTTGAATCTACACTACCTGAGGATGCTTCCATAATTATATAAATATGATCAATTATGGCTTTGTTATTCTTGAGAAGAAGATTTTTAAAGAATTTTCCTATATATTTCTATATAAAACTTTGGTCGGCCATTTTGGCCCGGCCCAACCCCTGGGGTTCATGATATGAACAAATTTGAATCTACACTACCTGAGGATGTTTCCCCATCAGTTTCATCTTTCCTGGCACAGTGGTTCTTGAGAAGAAGATTTTCAAAAGATACCACCATTTTTTCATTAATTCCCAATTATCTCCCCTTGAATGAGGGCGTGGCCCTTCATTTGAACAAACTTGAATCCCCTTCACCCAAGGATGCTTTGTGGCAAGTTTGGTTGAAATTGGCCACGGTCTTAGAAGAAGTCGAAAATATGAAAAGTTTACAACGACGACGATGACGACAACGACGACGACGACAGACAACGGACAAATTGTGATCAGAAAAGCTCACTTGAGCCTTTGGCTCAGGTGAGCTCAAAACCGGTTCAGTATTATGCCCAACCTTGAGCTTTTGATAATTATTGAAAAACATCTTATCATGAATTCTTACAGTAAGAGTTGAAATTTTTTTGTCTCAAAGTGGGGATTGTCCTTAGCCTTGGACACCTCTATTCTAAAACCATAAAACAGTAAATAATTGTGCCCCATTAAATATTAAACCTTGAATTCTGGTGAAGAATATAGTACAGAAAATTAGATCATCAAAATCTAGAAGTAGTACTGTATAAAGAAATTGCATTTTATTTCTCACATGGCAGCTAAGATACATACCGGTATATTCCTCTCTCCAATCAGTAAATACAACCCCCAACCCCTTATAATACTAAACAGTAGATGAACGAATTAAATGCAATATCTCACGGGAATCAGACTTGGTGAAAAATCTTAAGGAAACTTTAATTTTATTTTTGTAAGTTTTCTTTTCAACCAAAGTGTTACTTAATTAACAATCAATCAGTACTTGGGCAGGTAATGGGACCCTCCCCCCCCCCCCCCCCCCCCCCAAAAAAAAGGAGGAAGAAACAGTTTTGTATCCAGGTTGTCCACCTGGTACAGTCGGAGGGGAGGAAGGGGGCTCTGAACTTGACATAGTAATTTTAAGTAAGTGTAAAAGATATATTTATTTGAAGACCAGTTTTTCTGAACTAGGGTATTTTATGCCAGAATTACTATTGCAAATTTACACTAAAAGATAGATAAATATTGTTTAATTGCGGCTTTATCCCCTAAACAATATTGTACGTTTACATTCTTTAATCCTGCTAGTCCTGGAATTTTGTTTGGGTTCGTGGCTGCAACCCCCACCCCCAATATTCCTTCCTAGGACCTTCATAGCTCTAATAATGCCTGAAAAAGTGGATTTGCTTTCCTTGAAGAATTTACCCAAAAGCTACATGTAATCAGTATGAGTATTAATTTAAAAAAGAAAAAAAATTAATGTGTCTTTATTTATTTCTTAAAACGTTTTATGTCGTTTCTGGTATTTAGTGAAAACTTTACTTTCACTTCTCAACTGCTGTAGACCAAATCTTCCTGATTGTAGTTCGAATAGGCTGATATATCAATGTATACAAACATGGTTTAAGGAAAAGCCATGGTTTTAACTAAGGATGAAGATGTAAAATTTTACGTGTTATAATTGTACGTGCGTATTTTGTGTTGTCCATTTTACTGAGCAATGCAAAACAATAACAATACGTCAATAGCGAATATGACTTTGAATATACACCCAGTATTTGTACACAACTTCAAAATTAATGTTTGTTTTTTTTTTAAAGTTCTGTAGCTCTTATAAGTATTTTTTTTTTAATGTATTCTTTTCTTTTGCTGATACATGATACATACATTTTATATGCATGCCTTCAAAGAAAAGTCCGAAGATTTTTGTTTAAATGTAGTATGGGATCAACTAATTACAGTAAACTGCCCCCCCCCCCCCCCCCCCGACAAAAAAAAAATAAATAGTGGACCTATACACCTACTAAAGTGTTAGTGAACAACTATAAAATCGTAAAATGATACTTTTTGTGAAAAATGTGTAATATTCTAATAAAATCTATAACCATATAATTTACAAGGGGCAAAAGGGTTAAAACTGAGGAAATTCGGATTTTTGTGGAAATGTTCTTTTTAAGGTATGAGCACACTTCTGCCCCATTTTTTTTTTTCATGAATAGAAACCTCTTGATGTTAGTTTTAGACTGAACCCTAAATAAATTTGGGGCAGGCCTGTGCTCTATGTAAAATTTGACTATTTAGCCCTCAAAATGTGATAAATCAAGCAAATTCCTGATTTTCTATGATTTTGGGGCTATAGATCTCAGGTATACAAGTATGGAACTCCAAGATTTTTTCCCCTTTGATAAACTACAATACCTAGACTACCTTTTAAGCAAAAAATATTTGGCCAAAACTTAAGTTTCATTTTGACCATTTTACAGGGCATATTTTGACCCTTCGTGGGCTAAGCTCTTTCAAAACTGTAGGTGGAATAGCATTCTGTAAAATTGTTATGAGATGGACAGTTAAAGGGACACCTTTCTACTGCATCATGTCTTCAGGCCTGGGGGCCATAAAACTTTGATGAGCTCACAGATCTCAGTTATACTTTTCCACCATTAATTCCTTTGGTAAAATTGAGACTGAGATGAAAATTGAGCAAGTCTAAATTTTAATGTCACAGAGCCTGGATCTGACCAATATTACTTAAAATGGAGCTCTGCATACTTTTTTTGACCTCTACCCACTTTTTTGGACCTCTACCTACTTTTTGGACCTCTACCTACTTTTTTGGACCTCGACCTACTTTTTGGACCTCTACCTACTTTTTAACACTTTCTACCAACTTTTTGGACCTCTACTTACTTTTTGAACCTCTACCTACTTTTTTGGACCTCTACCTACTTTTTGAACCTCTACCTACTTTTTGAACCTCTACCTACTTTTTGGACCTCTACCTACTTTTTGGACTTCTACCTACTTTTTGAACCTCTACCTATTTTTTGGACTTCTACCTACTTTTTGGACCTCTACCTCTACCTACTTTTGTGACAGCCTGGCTCCTAAGCTACTGGAAGGCACACTGGACTGGGCCCCACTTGTTCCTAAACCACTATCCCTGAATGCTGAGTCTTGTGACATGGGGCGAGGACTTAGTGGTTTCCCTGACAACCCCTGCCATTGGACCGGGAGGGAGAAGCCTTTGATATGCGTCCTCATGCCCTCCTTGGCTTGTTCAGCTAATGACAAACATTCTCTGTCCATCTGAGGAGAGACAAGTTTTTCATTTTTCTTCACAGAAATCAATAGGTCAAGTCAATAAATAAATTTAAATGTTACACCTACTGCACAGAGTCAAATGACTGTATGTGTTTATATGTATATTTTCTATTCCTGAAAGTGAAATAATATTTTTAAACATGCAAATAAGTTTTTAAAATCATGTAAAATTATTAATCTATCATGCGAGACATTAACAGTTTTTACAGACTTGAATACTGTGTATAAAGCTATATCTATTTTACCTTGTCAATGCGATTACTGAGCTTCTCGCGACAATCACTGACAGAAGCGATATTCTGTTCAACCTTCTTTGTTCTCTGAACATTCTTCAGCAGTAATCTAAAAGTGTTAAATAAATGTATTACTTCATCTAAAATAATCATTAATATGATAAGCAGTGAAGCAAAGTTTTCTACACTGTCATCTTGATTGTTGCTGATATTGGAGTTATTCCCCTTTGACCATGACTTACCCTATCTGTTTGCCCACTACACTGTACGTTCTGGACAGATTCCTCAGGCAATGACCTTGAAGTAGAGAGACCAGCTGAACACACAGGTCCTGTATCCGGATTCTGTAATAGGGTCAAAGTTCAGGTAATTAATTAGGTCATAGGAAGCCAGGTATTCAAGTCACACAATTGATCACAAAAAACACATGTTGCCCTCAAACACAGTCAATGTTTCTTGTTTCCTAATAGGCCAATCCAAATTGAGTATTTTTGGTATATTACATGTGTTTGTGGTCCTACATTACAGGTGCATGTAGCCTTACCTGTCTGACTCGTGGACATACTCCTCTTCTGGACACAGTGTCTTCTGCTTCCTGTCCTTGGTGAAGGCCGTCGAGATCTCCTCAATCTTCCTACACAGGTGCTCAGCTTTCTGCATGCTGCCATTGGTAAGTGGAGTTTGAAAAAAATTTGTTTTAACAGGCAAAACTTAAGATTTACTCTTAATTTGTAATATATGCCCTGTTAACATGCAGAGTTTAATTTGAATTAAACATCGAGTTACTGGGAGTTAATTTTGAACCATGTTCACGTGGAGAATTTAATGCAATTTTATGAGAAACACCATGAAACACTGTTGCTTCTGGGGAACTGAACCTTTCTGATTCCCTTAATGATTTAAGTCTGTTCTCAGTATCTGGTCTTGAGGCCAGGCTCTGAAAGCTGCTTTTTTTTAGTACTAAGTATACACACCAGTTTTCCTCCTCCAAACACCCCACACAGTGACTAATGGCCTCTTTCTCCTGCTCATAGATCTTGTTCATCAGGACATCCATGTACACCTTACATTCTTCTGATCGATTCTCAGCCTGCAATTCAAAAAGGGTTACATGTATCATCAACATAATTCTATAACAAGAGGCCCACAGGCCTTATAGATCACCTGAGTACTGTGTAACAACTTTCAATCAATTGAATTTGGTTTATACCACTTCAGGCCATGAAATTCACAATTCGCAATTTTGAAAGAGTCACCATTGCTTAATTGTAAACTTAGAATGCTTACTCTATTTACTTAATACCTAGACATAGATCAGAGTAACAGAGAAAATGCACTTCCACTTTATACCCAGTTGTGCACCTCACCCCAAAGGAACCATTGACCCAGGAGCCATATATTTCAAAATTTTGCAAATTTTAAAACCAAATAGTTTATTAATACCAAAGATCAGATTAAAAAGCATTGATTTATTTTCAGACTATGTAGCCCCCCCCCCAATATCCTCTGACCCAGGGGGCAAAAAAACAAGAGGCCCAAGGGCCTTGAATCGCTCTCCTGATAAATTGTACAACCTATCACTTGTATTTGAAGCCTCTAACCCTAAATATCCTATTAAAGACCCAAGTTGCATTACCTAACAAAGTTTGATGATTCTTAGCCAATTAGAACTACTTTTTGGTCTACATTCTTGGAAATCACAAAATGCATCAAGTGACAGTTTGATTATTCTAAGCCAATAAATACCTAAGATACTTAAATATAGCCATAAAATGTCGAAAGTAGGTCATCGTGTTTACATTTTGGTTGACATTTTTCAGAGTCCCAAGATGCATCTGCTGACTAAGTTTGATAATTCTAAGCCAATAAATACCTGAGATATTGAAAAGTAGGTCACTGTGACCTACTCTTTGGTCAACATTCTCAGAAAACCCAAGATGCATCAACTGACAAAGTATGATGATTCTTAACCAATAAATACCTAAGATACTTAAATATAGCCATAAAATGTAGTAAGTAGGTCATTGTGACCTACATTTTGGTTGACATTTTTTAGAGTCCCAAGATGCATCTGCTGACCAAGTTTGATAATTCTAAGCCAATAAATACCTGAGATATTCAAAAGAAGGTCACCATGACCTACTTTTAGATCGACATTCTCCGAAAATCCAAGATGCATCAACTGACAAAGTATGATGATTCTAAATCGATAAGTACTAGAGATAGATTAATATAGCCATAAAATGTCAAAAAGTAGGTCACTGTGACCTACTTTTTGGCGACATTCTCCAAAAACCCAAGATGCATCTGCTGACCAAGTTTGATAATTCTAAGCCAATTAATACCTGAGATATTCAAAAGTAGGTCACCATGACCTACTTTTTGGTCGAAATTCTCAGAAAACCAAAGATGCATCAACTGACAAAGTATGATGATTCTAAACCAATAAGTACTAGAGATACTTAAATATAGCCATAAAATGTCAAAAGTAGGTCACCATGACCTACTTTTTGGTTGACATTCTCCGAAAACCCAAGATGCATCAACTGACAAAGTTTGATGATTCTAAGCCAATAAGTACCGGAGATACTTAAATATAGCCATAAAATGTCGCAAGTAGGTCACTGTGACCTAATTTTTAGTCGCACTATCCGAAAACCCAAGATGCATCTACTCACAAAGTTTAATGATTCTAAGCAAATAAATACCTAAGATACTTAAATATAGCCATAAGATGTAAAAAGTAGGTCACCGTGACCTACATTTTGGTTGACATTTTTCAGAGTCCCAAGATGCATCCAAAATATGCCTTTAAATCAATTTGAAAACAAATGCCCGCAAAATTCAAAAAGTGGGTCACTGTGACCTATTTTTGAGTTAAAATGATGTGAAGTCCTAAGATGCATCAACTTACAAGATTTGATGATCCTAGTACTTATAGTAAGCAAAATATGAACATTTTTATTAATTGTAAATTAAGGTCAACTTTAAAGTGACCTTGAGACCACGCCCTTTGCCCCAGGGCCATGCCTTGAACAATTTTTAATCTTCAACATATCCTGATCCTTGTATGTAAGTTTGGTGAAAATCTGCCTGGTGGTTCTGGAGAAGAAGATTTTTTAGCAACCAGTACTTTTTGTTTTGTTTTCCTGATTATCTCCCCTTGATTCAGGGTCCCAACCCTTATTTTAGTATAAATGGTAGCCCTTGGGCCAAGGATACCCTGTGACAAATTTGACACTGATTGGCCAAGGGGTTCTTGAATTATGGCCCATATTCTAAAAAGTTAACGCACACACACGACGCACACCGCACAAATGGCCATAGCATTAGCTCTTTTGAGCCTTTGGCTCAGAAGAGCTAAAAACACTTTGCTAGATGCTCCTTTCTTTTCTTTATCATAAATATATATATACTTGAATCATTGGTATGAAACCCAGGAGCAAAGGAAAATAATTTCAAAGAATTAATGCATTTTCACAATATAATCAATAGAGCCCCGCCCTAACACTAGAACCCCTGACCCTGGGGCCATAAAATTAACAATTTTAGAAGAGGCACTCTTGTTCATCATAACCAAATGCTAAGTTAGTTTATTTAATACCCAGAAGCAGAGAAAAAGATTTTCAAAGAATTAATGCATTTTCACTATATGATCAATAGAGCCCCACCCTAACACCAGAACCCCTGACCCTGGGGCCATAAAATTCACAATTTTATAGGAGGCACTCTTGCTCATCATAACTATGTGCTTAGTTAGTTTATTTAATACCCAGAAGCAGAGAAGAAGATTTTCAAAGAATAAATGCATTTTCACTATATAATCAATAGAGCCCCGCCCTAACACCAGAACACCTAACTCTGGGGCCATAGAATTCACAAATCTGGAAGAGGACTCTTGCTCATCATAACTATGTGCTTAAGTAGTTTATTTAATCCTCAAAAGCAGAGAAGAAGATTTTCAAAGAATAAATGCACTTTCACCATATAATCAATAGAGCCCCACCCTATCACCAGAACCCCTGACCCTGGGGCCTTAAAATTCACAATTTTGAAAGAGGCACCCTTGCTCATCATAACTATGTGCTTAATTAGTTTTTTTAATACTCAGGAACAGAGAAGAAGATTTTCAAAGAAATAATGCATTTTCACTATATAATCAATAGAGCCCCGCCCAGAACCCCTGACCCTGGGGCCATAAAATTCATAAATTTGGTAGAGCCACTCTTGCTCATCATATCTATGAACTTAATTTGTTTATTTAATACCCAGGAGCAGAGAAGAAGATTTTTAAAGACTTACTGCATTTTCACTATATATCAATTTAGCCCCGCCCTAACACCAGAACCCCTGACCCTGGGGCCATGAATTTCACAATTTTGGTAGAGGACTCAATGCTGATTACAATCATACCAACAGTTTGACTGCTTGATGTCCAGGAGTAAAGAAGAAGATTTTTAAAGATTGCACTATTTTTAGTGGTTTTTGCCCCACCCCCAGGCCCAGGGGGGCGGGGACCACGAAATTCACAATTTTTGTTCCCCTTCACCCATAGATGCTATATGCCAAATTTGGTTGAAATTGGTTCAGTGGTTTCAGAGAAGAAGCTGAAAATGTTTAAATGTTAACGCACGACGCACGACGCACGACGGACGACAGACGACGGACGACGACGGACAAAAACGGATAGCAATAGGTCACCTGAGTTTACTCAGGTGACCTAAAAATTCATTTAATAGTTAACAATATTTGTGAAACAAATGTTCTTGATTTAAGAAAGAAATGTGGATTTGGTGGAGAGCTTTCTCTGACTTATCGTGAGTTTTGTGAAAAATGTGGACCTTTGTTTACTTATGAGAATTTGAAGACATACAGTACACCTGGTTGCAGATATGTAAGGAAAGGAGCAGGAAATTAAAGAATTTTTTCACGTGTAGTGATGTTGCAGCTCAAATCAAGGACATTAAAAAAATTTGGAAAAAAATACCTCTGTTAAAATCAACAAGTAATATATCTGTATGGCCTGTTTTCTTAACCATTTTCTGAATTTCTTAACCATTAATGAGCTTCCACCTGCTGAACGATTTCCCAGAAAGAATCTTACACTGTTGAGGATTTGGCAAGGTCACCCAAAACCTTTGAAGAATTCCTTCCTAACACCATTTGTAAAAGGTTTAGCACCCTTAGAAAACCACAAGTCTCTGTCGAGACTGAAGCTCTACTGGTTTGTACTTATAACAAAGAGAAAAGTAGCTAGGCACTTGAAACTTTAAAACAGCAACAAATAGAATAATGATCTTTGATTAAGTCTCTTTTTGTTGGAAGATATTGTAATAAGACTACAACTGTAGTCTGCATCTTAGTGTAGTTTACATTTGTGCCAAGTTATATTAAAATCAGACAAAAACTAGGAGGAGTAGCATTTTGAAAAATTGTATACAGACAGACGCCGTACCATTACTATCGCATAAGCTCTTCTGGTCTCTGACCAGTAGAGCTAAAAAAATGGGATCAATTTAACAGATTAGGGAGATTAAATAAATGTAAAGTGTATATTAATTATGGGAACATTGCACGTGCAAGAAAGATCTTTTGTTTTGAACATGACAATACACAATGGACAATATGGATGTGTTGACTGTGTAGAGCCTGGAAAGAATGTTAAATCAGGAAAAAACATGTAAATGTTACCCTTTCAGAGAAGATCCACAGCCTGTTCGTTCTAATGAGGACTGTCAAGGGGCTGCTGAACAGACAGAAAAAGAAGGAAAATCAGTCATGGGATTTAATGGTCGGACAGTATTATGAAGCTGCCTTTCTGCATTTCAGACCAACACTAATATCGCAATCGCAATGTCCTTTTTGGGGTAACAATGAAACTCGTGCCGTTATGGTTTGACCCTATAAACTTCAAAAAAAGTATTTCATTGGACATACATGTATGACAAACCAGGTGGACAAAAGATTGAAGGCAGTCCAACCGCCTTATTTATTCTCGAGAAGACCAACAAAGGTCAAAAATACTTTCCACGAATGGAAGGCATCAGAACTCAAGTCTTTCCTTTTATATTATCTAGTTCCTATGTTGAAAGATATACTACCTGTCACATATCTGCAGCATGCGACATGTCAGGCTGACGTAATATTCCTTTTATTGCAGAAAACTATAAGGGAAGAGGATATACAGAGAGCAAGTGTACTCCTATCAGCATTTTATGAAAATGCCCCCATATTATACGATGAAAACTTTTGTGGATTAAATGTCCACAATTTGACTTATCTACCAACAATTGTTCTAGTATTTACTGTACCATTATCATGGTCTTCCTGTAAAATTTGCTATTATTGAATAAAATGAACCCCAAAAAAACACACCATAAGATCATTTATTTACTTCCAATATAAATTTTATCGTTTTCATTTCAATAAACATGCATATTGCATACAATAACATTTCATTTATTTTGCTCTCAATGGTGCATTTAATCACTAGCCAAAACACTTATTTTTCTAATGAGATCTGGATGTTTGATATAAGCTCCTCTTAAAATCAAACCTACATGGAGTTACTGTATACCTTACATGCAGCCTACTGCATCGTTCACGGTCCCTTTCTCTGGCAGCAATTTTTAATATGTCTCTGTGTGTATGGAGTGGCAACATTTGTGACCAAATAAGTTTAACATGATATGGAAGAAGCTGCATCAGTTTGAACAGGTCTATTCTAACTGTTGTAATTTGCTTAAAGAACAAATCTAGTTCCCTCAAATCGTTCTCCCATAAAAAAAGTCGTAGTATTCCTCAATAACTATTCAAAAAAGTAGGGTATTTTGAATTAACAAGGACAATGAAATTCAGACTATGAGGTCAGGAAGGAAACAGAGGCCATAAAGAAAACAAATAACAGAAAAGCACTGAGGAAAAATTTTTCAATTTATCCGAAACCCTGTGCACAGTCAGAAAGGATATATTCTCCAAAATAAGGATCGACACCAACATAGGGTCACACAACAAATTTACCACCATTATGAAACAGATTCAGTAGCGGGTAAAACCCGTCCGGTTGGCTAGACAAGCTAGGGTTCTCCCCACACCATTACAGATCCACGCCCATATCCATCATGTCTAATGATGTTAACGAAATGGAAACGTTCGTTACGTCAGTGCCAAACCCTCCTGCGTCTGTCCAGGAAGTCCACAGTTAACCTCCCCGCCTGTAAAAACAAAATAATGCGGTACGTTCCATCGGCGATTATCCCAGCGTTGACGACACCATTACGGGCCTCATGTGACGATCAAACAGGGAATGTCACGAGGATAACGGGCGTGTAAGTGAAATCTGTGCAGTTGATTCTTGATGGTTTGGCAACTAACTACCAAGTCCGTGTCACTGTGAAGTTGAAACATAATTTGATTTGCTGTTACTATACGATTTCTCAAGGCAACAGTGCGGATGAATCTGTCCTGAGCCTGAGTTGTTGCCCTTGGTCGACAGGATCGGGGTTAATCCTGAACAGATTCTGTAGCACGATGTCTGGACCATAATCTGATAATAACTGGGAAAACATTCATTGTCCTTGCCACCACGACATGTGTTGTGCCCACCTGTAGCATGCTAAGGGCACCTAACCTCTCATCCTGTGCTAGACGGCGCATGGTCTCTGTTGAAATACCGACTTATACAACTGATAATCTGAGGCCTTTCTCCTCAGAATTTTTCTTTCATACATACTAGTATATGGATGGCATTTTTACAAATTTCAATCACTGCTTCCGAGAAATAGAATTCGCAAGGACTATTGGTCCTTTTAATTATAAGTTAAGCTTTAAAAATACAGCAATAACCTTTTTACTCACCTGAGCCGAAGGCTCAAGTGAGCTTTTCTGATCAAATTTTGTCCGTTGTTTGTCGTTGTCGTAAACTTTTAACATTTTTATCTTCTTCTCATGAACCACTTTGCCAATTTCAACCAAACTTGCCCCAAAGTATTCTTGGGTGAAGGGAATTCAAGTCTTCTTCTCAAGAATAACAAAGCCACGATTGATAATATTTATATGGAAGCATCCTCAGGTAGTTTAGATTCAAGTTTGTTCAAATCATGATCCCCGGGGGGTAGGGTGGAGCCACAAATATTTATATGGAAGCATCCTCAGGTAGTGGGGATTAAGTTTTTTTTCAAATCATACCCCGGGGGGGGGCCCCAAAGTTTTACATAGAAATATATGGGAAAATTTTTTTTTAAAATCTTTAAGAATAAAAACCATAACTGGTCAAAGGTTTAGTTTTGGATTTAAACTTTTCAAAAAATAATCCAATTTCTAACTTTTCCTACCAAAGTGGTCAGGTGAGCGATGTGGCCCATGGGCCTTTTGTTATTTCTTTTTACTAAAATTTTGCTTTTGAGCCAAACCTTAATTGCTATTGGATTCACTTGTCCATGTCACATTGATGAATTATTTTACCCTATCAAATATGAGGATTGATTATATGGCATTATTAAGATACAGCAAATACCATAATTGCACAAAGTATAAAATTCAATGTTTTTAAAAGTATAAGACAGACAGGGAAAAAAATTACCCCTAGGATCTTCAATCCATGGGTATAAAAATTTTGTTGTTGCACCCCAACTTTTATCAATTCTATCAAAGCTGTGATATTCTTCTTGGACCAACCCTTGTAAAAAAATATATACTTTTTTTTAGAATTGCTGCTAATTTTTTTTGAACTGTGGGTCAGTTCGTTCCTAGCGATATTTCGGCTAGCTGCATGAGCTCCTGTTCCTGGATGGACATGGTGACGTACTGCACAGTGAGGTGAGCGATGGCACTCGTCTTGTGGGCCACGTTCATCCTTATCATAGGAAATAGGGCTACTGCTGAAGAACTGGGGAATGGGTGCCGGAGAATAAACCAAAAGCTGATGCTGATAGTAATTCAAGCCTGAAAAAATAGGTGTATTTTTTTATTTTTTGATTCATTATTATATAAATACACACAACATTATCTATCAAAAATATGCTCCAGTATTAATACTTTACAAAAGAACTTAAGTGCAACACTTCCTACATTTATTTTAATTATTAGAGCAAAAGATTTCAATTATATACCAGCAGATGGTACATGTAAATGCTAGGTTTAAGTGAATTAATTTTCATGATGTATACTGGGAAAAAGCATAAAATGTATTTGGTGAATCTTTTTCTAAAACAAATTATTAATTTGCATTCATTTTGCATTGAAAAGGAATACATTCAAGCTAAAAAATAATTTTACAGAAATTGAATAATATACATTCATAATATCACTTGAGGAATTCCTCAAGTTTAATCTTTCTACCACGGGTAAATTCCATTGATTTGCCATATTGCACTCAACTGCAGTGAACTCACATTAAATATTAAATAATGGTGAATGAAAAACTTCACACCTTTGGTTTTTTAATAGGTATAAGATTACTCAATAATCTGTGTCAAATTCATATCTAACATATGCCGCCAAACAGGTGGGCTATAGCCTCTTAATTTGCTCAACATTTTGCAGGTGATATTTTTTTTTCTGTTGTAAAAAATTAATATTTGACAAAGGATTGCAAATCATCCAGATAAAAAAAAATTTAAACATTCATAAAGGTTTGGGCTATGATATCAATATTAAAATTTCCAACCTTTTCAAGCATGAGGCTCATTTTTTTTATTTTTTCAACTCAAATCAAAGCAGCCTATTGTGTATGTACTGAAAAGAATTCCAAAAAGGATATTATTTGATCCTTTAACCATGGATTCCTGATAAACACTCCTTACCCAGATGAGTGTTAGATAACATTTATCTGATAAAGACACTCAGATGAAGGAGTTCTAAAAGGGGAAAAAAAGAGCCCCATGGGCCACATCGCTCACCTGAGAATCTTTGACCATTCTGTTTTTTACCAGATTTCCACCTTGTAATTCATATTGTACCCCCCCCACCCAATGATCATAATTTAAACAATTTGAAATCTACACTACCTCAGGATGCTTCCGCATAAGTTTTAGCTTTTCTGGCCCAGTGGTTCTTGAGAAGAAGATTTTTAAAGATTATTCCTATATATTTCTATATAGAACTTTGATTCCCCATTGTGACCCTGCCCTACCCCCGGGGTCATGATTTGAACAATTTACAATCTACATTACCCCAGGGTGCTTCCACATAAGTTTCAGTTTTTCTGGCCCAGTGGTTCATGAGAAGAAGATTTTCAAAGATTTTTCCTATATATTTCTATGTAAAACATTGATTCCCCATTGTGGCCCCACCCGACCCCTGGGGGTTATGGTTTTAACAATTTAGAATGTACTCTCCCCAGGATGCTTCCACATAAGTTTCAGCTTTATTGGCCCAGTGGTTCTTGAGAAGAAGATTTTAAAGATTTTTCCTATATATTTCTATGTAAAACTTTGATTTCCCATTGTGACCCTGCCATACTCCCAGGGATCATGATTTGAAAAATTTAGAATCTACACTACCCGAAGATGTTTCCACATAAGTTTCAGCTTTACTGGCCCAGTGGTTCTTGAGAAGAAGATTTTTTAATGACCCCACCCTATTTTTGTCTTTTCTTGATTATCTCCCCTTATGAGAAAACTTGGCCCTTCATTTTAACAATTTACATTTCCCTTTATCCAAGGATGCTTTGTACCAAGTTTGGTCAAAATTGGCCCAGTGGTTCTTGAGAAGAAGTCGAAAATGTGAAAAGTTTACAGACGGACGGACAGCTAGATAGACAGGACAGACAGGGGACAGACGTCGGACAAAATGTGATCAGAAAAGCTCACTTGACCCTTTGGCTCGGGTGAGCAAAAAAACCACTTCAAAGAATGAGTTGTCAAACCACAGAAAATTTAGGCGGGAAACATTAATAGTACATGTACACCCAGCAATAATCTATGAAAACCAAACTTTCAACTTCTTAAAAAATGACATCAAGCTCTAAATTTACTCAAATATGCTGTATAATTATTTGCAAGCATGCACAAATTCTTTCTTTTACTTTGGTATATAAATGTCCACCCTCTATATAAACTGTGAGTATATGATCCAGCCCATATAAATATCAGATATATGTATTAACTAGAATGATGGTATATTTAAACATGGAATGTCGAAAAACCTGTCTGACAGTTTTATGTACATTTGTCATGATAAAGTACAGCACTTAAATAATTTCAAGATTTTTTTTCACAAATTAAAACAGCTATTTTATCAGTCATCAGTCTAGACTTTTTAAAAGCTTTGTAACAGTACTTATAGTAGGTAAATTCATCAATTCTTGAATTAAACAAGGATAAGTATATGCAAATGTCTATTTGATCATATTTTACATTTCATGGGTGGACCTGAATTTTGTGGGTCTCTCCATATATCGAAAACAACAAAAACTAGAACTGTCCAATAGGGACAAATCCCCCCGCTGGGTTTTTCAGAGAAGCCCTGAAGGTGCCAATTCACAAATACTTTATGGATCTAGAGGTGTTCACAATTTACTTACAAAAATTTGCAGTGAAATATAATTGCTCATTATGTTTCTTAATGAATGAAACAAAGGTGCAACCAAATTAAACATCAATACTAATACATTGTAATTCCATTGTAACATTTTTTTTTTTTTCATTTTTTTTTTTTATTTCTGCATTAAAAAAATATACTGCAATTATGTGTTATGTCACTCTGCAAACTGATTGTTGAAAAAAACCCATTATACAAAATCAAATTAATCTTGATATATCAATTTGAAATGCATTTTGAAAATAAAGAGCTGGTCATCCAGTAATGAAGTGCTTTGACAGACAATAAATTACAATTAAGAGAATAAGAGAAGAGTGATCTTTAATTCTTGTGCCTTATTCCCTATAGATTAGATAACACACACGCTTGATAAGAGACCTTCATATGGTGAATAATAAGTGTACAAATTTTCAGATTAATCCTTGCAATAGTTTCTGAGAAACGGTCCAGACAAAACCACAAAATAAAAATGAAAAAAAACACCTGTAAAATTCAAAATAATAATTGAATCAAGATGAAAATTTCAGGTGCACAACTTCATATGGTGAATAATATGTGTATAAATTTTCAGATGAATCCTTCCAATAGTTTCTTAGTAATGGTCCAGACAAAATCTCGTCTACAGACAGACAGACAGACGGACAGACGGACATGGTGATTCCAATATACCCCTCCTAAACTTCGTTTGCAGGGGGTATAATTAAACCCCCACAAAAAATTAGTGTTCACAGTACATAAAAACTCCTTTAGTGAAGTTAATTATGTAAATGTATTTCAGGCCAAATGAATTTCTCTCTTTGTTTCTCTCTTTCTCTCTCTCTCTCTGTTTTATGGACTTAATTTTTTCAGGCAGACTAAGTTTCTGCCAATCTCTCTCTCTTTTTCTCTCTCTCTCTGTTTTACAGTCTTAGGTATTTCAGGCAGACTGAGTCTCTGCTGGTTCAGCCTCTCTCTGTCTCTCTCTCTCTGTTTTACAAACTTAGTATTTCAGGCAGACTAAGTTTATGCCAATCTCTCTCTCTCTGTTTTACAGACCTACGTATTTCCCGCAGACAGTTTATGCCAATCTCTCTCTCTCTGTTTTAAAGACTTACGTATTTCTGGCAGATTAAGTTTCTGCTACATTGTAATCTCTCTCTCTGTTTTACAGACTTACGTATTTCCGGCAGATTAAGTTTCTGCTACATTGTAATCTCTCTCTCTGTTTTACAGACTTACGTATTTCCGGCAATTAAGTTTCTGCTACATTGTAATCTCTCTCTCTGTTTTACAGACCTACGTATTTCCCGCAGACAGTTTATGCCAATCTCTCTCTCTCTGTTTTAAAGACTTACGTATTTCTGTCAGATTAAGTTTCTGCTACATTGTAATCTCTCTCTCTGTTTTACAGACTTACTATTTTGGCAGACTAAGTTTCTGCTACATTGTAATCTCTCTCTCTGTTTTACAGACATGTATTTCCGGCAGACAGTTTATGCCAATCTCTCTCTCTCTCTGTTTTACAGACTTACATATTTCCGGCAGATTAAGTTTCTGCTACATTGTAATCTCTCTCTCTGTTTTACAGACTTACGTATTTCCGGCAGATTAAGTTTCTGCTACATTGTAATCTCTCTCTCTGTTTTACAGACTTACGTATTTCCCGAAGACTAAGTTTCTGCTACATTGTAATCTCTCTCTCTCTGTTTTACAAACTTATGTATTTCCGGCAGATTAAGTTTCTGTTAATTGTAATCTCTCTCTCTGTTTTACAGACTTACGTATTTGGACAACTAAGTTTCTGCCAATCTCTCCCTATCTCTCTGTTTTACAGACTTGCATATTTCCGGCAGACAGTTTCTGCCAATCTCTCTCTCTCTGTTTTACAGACTTACGTATTTCTGGCAGACTAAGTTTCTGTTGGTCCAGTCTTTCTCTCTGGTACAGATACAGCTGACCATGCAGTATGTTCTTCGGCCAGTTTTGAATCTCTGCCGTCATGTCGATGACCTCGCTGATTTCCCGGTTATGGTACAGAATCAGTTGTTCACTGGCCGCTATCTCTGTCTCCTTGGCGATCAGTTCCTGACACTTAGCAAACCTTCAAAAAGAAATTATAATTGGTGCTTAAACTGTTGCAATATTTAATAAATACTGTGGAATCAGATTACAGGTATTTAGAATTCATAGGGGTCAAGGTACATGGGTAAGCAACATTTATATTTTGTTGGTTCGTAAAGACGTAATTTTGTGGGTTATTTGCATATTCAGACATTTCAATGATTAAGTTTATATATGGACAAAATAATCAGAATAATGGGGATGTAAATTTATGGATAAGGACTGGTGACCCATTAAATCCTTTAAGTTTGCCCCCCCCCAACTTACATTGATGATTCCACAATATGCACACAAGAAAAATGCTCAGGAACAGAACAAATAATTAATTATATCTTTTAATTGTCATGCAACTTCCTTTACTGGTATCAATTTCTACTCATAGTCTCAGACTGTTCATTTTGTTGTTGACACAGACATGTATGTTCTATTGATGTACATTTTATTGTTGACACAGAAGTGTATGTTCTTACCTATCAGTTTTATTGATGAATATCATGTTGTTGACACAGAAGTGTATGTTCATACCTATCGGTTTTATTGATGTACATTTTGTTGTTGGCACAGCAGTGTACGTTCTTACCTATCGGTTTTATTAATGTACATTTTGTTGTTGACACAGAAGTGTATGTTCTTACCTATCAGTTTTATTGATGTATATCATGTTGTTGACACAGAAGTGTATGTTCTTACCTATCGGTTTTATTGATGTACATTATGTTGTTGACACAGAAATGTATGTTCATACCTATCAGTTTTACTGTTGTACATTATGTTGTTGACACAGAAGTGTATGTTCTTACCTGTCAGTTTTACTGTTGTACATTATGTTGTTGACACAGAAGTGTATGTTCTTACCTGTCAGTTTTATTGATGTAGATTTTGTTGCTGACACAGAAGTGTATGTTCATACCTGTCAGTCTTATTGATGTACATTATGTTGTTGACACAGAAGTGTATGTTCTTACCTGTCAGTTTTATTGATGTATATCATGTTGTTTACACAGAAGTGTCAGTTCTTACCAGTCAGTTTTATAGATGTACAGTATGTTGTTGACACAGAAATGTATGTTCATACCTATCAGTTTTACTGTTGTACATTATGTTGTTGACACAGAAGTGTATGTTATCCTATGGTTTTATTGATGTACATTATGTTGTTGACACAGAAGTGTATGTTTTTACCTGTCAGTCTTATTGATGTACATTATGTTGTTGACACAGAAGTGTATGTTCTTACCTATCAGTTTTACTGTTGTACATTATGTTGTTGACACAGAAGTGTATCTTCTTACCTATCAGTTTTATTAATGTACATTTTGTTGTTGGACCCTGATGAACAGTTGAACAGCTTGATAGTGGTCATCTCCCTAAGTGATTGGACTGTCTCAAAAAACTTCTCAAAGGTCCATCTCAGTGTAGTATTACTCTCCAATAAACCAGACATAATGGGGGTAATATTTCAGAAATCTGTAACACAATATCTAGCCATAATACGGTAACTGTGGTCATGATTGACCTCAGACATTTTGTAATAGGGTGCATAATGGTGGTTACATTATCTAGATTCATTCCTTCAAATGATTGTGCAATTTTTTTTTTGTGTGCTTGTTTTTTTAAATTTACAACAGAAGACAAGTGCGTGGTAGGTTGTTTTCCCATTCATCTCTCCGTTCTCTGTCCTCTGTATTCCAGATATCACTCCTGGAGCCTTCTGTGTGGTGATCATATACCTATTATCAAATTAACATTCAACAAATTAATCAATTAAGAATAAATAAATTGCTAGATTCTCATCCGAATTTCTTTAAAAATTGGGTGGGCGGGCGGCTTTTATTTATATTTTTTAAATTTTTAATTTTGCAGATTTTTTATTGACCTGGTCAATCAGTGAATTTTATTACAATACCTGAATAAAAATCTTAGTAAAGGTTCAATTATCTCTTCTTCACATCATCACCAATCTTTTCCAACCAATGACCCTTGTTTAAAATATATACGCATGTATAACAGCAATTACCATTTTTCAGCTGTCAAAATCATGCACTTTTGCATATTTAAAAAGAAAGTAGAATCACAGGTAAATGAATACCACCCGATAGAATTAAGACAAAACAAGAGGCCCATGGGGACATCGCTCACCTGAGCACTAAGGGTAGGAAAAAGTAGAAAAAGGCTTTTTTTGTAAAGTTTAAATCCAAAAGTAGTCCCATTTCCAATCATGGATTTGCTATTTTTTAGAAAATGATTTTTTAAAAATTTTTATATATTTCATGTAAAAGTTTGGTGGCCATTTTGGCCCTGCCCAACCCCCGGGGGTATATTTGAACAAATTTGAATTACACTACCTGAGCATGCTTCCATATAAATATGATGAATTATGGCTTTGTCATTCTTGAGAAAAAAATTTTTTAAAAAAATTTTCCTATATATTTCTATGTAAAACTTTGGTCGGCCATTTTGGCCCCGCCCTACCCCTGGGGTCATGATTTGAACAAACTTGAATCTACACTACCTGAGCATGCTTCCATATAAATATGATGAATTATGGCTTTGTCATTCTTGAGAAGAAGATTTTTAAAGAATTTTTCTATATATTTCTATGTAAAACTTTGGTGGCCATTTTGGCCCCGCCCTACCCCCTTTGGGGGATGATTTGAACAAACTTAAAAAATTTCACTACCTGAGCATGCTTCCATATAAATATGATAAAATTTTGGGTTTGTCATTTTTGAGAAGAAGATGTTTAAAGAATTTTCCTATACATTTCAATGTAAAACTTTGGTCGGCCATTTTGGCTTGCCCTACCCTGGGGGTCATATTTGAACAAACTTAATCTACACTACCTGACTGAGGATGTTTTTTAAAAATTTCATCTTTCCTGGCACAGTGGTTCTTAGAAGAAGATTTTTAAAATATCCACCAAATTTTCTTTTAAATTCCCCAAATTTTCTCCCCTTAATAGGTTCCCTTTTTTTGAAAAACTTTAACCCCTTCACCCAAGGATACTTTTGGCAATTTGGTTGAAATTGGCCCAGCGGTTTTAGAAGAAGTCGAAAATGGAAAAGTTTTCAGACAGACTGGGGCAGACAGACGGACGCCAGACAAAATGTGATCAGAAAAAATCACTTGAGCCTTTGGCACAGGTGAGCTAAAAAACGAAATAAAAAAAATCGAGGTGGGGATATAAAATGGGGCGGGCCGGGGTGAGAATCTAGGAATATTTTTATTATGGCCTTATAGGTCTGCAAGATTTATTAACATTATAATCAAGCATAAGAAATTAAAATTGTAGAATAGTTTTATATAAAATTTTTTAAAATCAGAAATTTATACTTTTCTTCTGTGTGCTGTGTACATCCCCCAAATTATTTTTAAAATCGGTAGGGAAAAAGTAGCACAGAAAAAAATTGTGCAGATGTACTAAACTGAGCCTCAAACTTGTTATAAAGGGGTATCTTTCCTACCAAAAAAAATTGGCAAATCAAAAATCAACTGAATTATTTTGTGTATTATAACATCTTTGAGAAGTCTGAAATTCCTCTACTTTGACTTTATTTTTAGAGGTTCCCAAAGGCAGACTCATTTTGCCAAAAAAAAAATCAGACATGCCACCTGAGAATTTAACTAAGGAAAGACTTGATGTGCTTTGATTTGAGGGGGCACTCACTGCTGATCGAAAATTTAGAACATCACTTTGAGAAGAAATGTTGGCCTATAGGAAAACAAATAGTGGACTGTATCCTCAGCAGCTGTGTGCATGTTGTGCATTTCCTTAACAACGTTTGATCCTATATTTAAAATTTTAAAATTTTTT